GCTTGAAGAATTACTTTTTAATTTAAATTATATATATATATATATATACATTTGGTGCGGCCAATTGCAACCAAAATGGGAGATACACATCTACATGTTATAGCAGGCGTATGTACAAAATTTCAACGTTCTGAGGCTTCTCGTTTTTGAGTTATGCGAGATACGTACGTACATAACTACGTTCAGACGCCACGAAAAAAATCTCTTTAGAATTCATTTTAAATCCGTTTTATAATTTTCTGGTGGGAAAAGAGTCCTTTATTCTGTCCTTACGTACAGATGTCACGCAAAGACATCGTTAAATGGCATTCGATAACGGTCAAAATGGATATTTTCGTTGAAATCTGATGCCCGAAATTTTTTTTCACGATTGCAATACTTCGCTACGTTGTGAATAAATCCAAATGCTCAATTCGTGATGTCATAGACTTCTCCACTCTGTTCTCTGCAGTAGTATAAATGCAGTTTTATTTATTGCTGCTACATTCTAGCAGATTTCATGCAAAATGGATTTTATAGTTTGTAACAGTTCAATTAAATCAGGAGAATATCAGTCCACGGAATTGTCTAAACGGCATCAAGTTAACGACAGCCGGTAGGTTTTTGAATTTTAGTTATTATAAGTTTTCGAATTTTGCAGTATTATGCTACTCGCTTGTGAACCATTAAATATGTTTTTATTTCGCAGCATGCAAGAGACTATAAATTGAACCATCAGGAATACCGATTAATTTATTGTGATGGTGTAGTAGTTAAAATACAGGTATATGGTTTCGAAGGTTACGTATTCGAGAGAAAGTGCAGTCTTTCCATTCTAATATTCCTCGCTTTTAACTTGTTTCTGATCTCTGTCTGGTGCCCGAGGCCCGAGTTTGAAATCGCTTAGGATTGAAAGCGGTTGCCATGCTAGTCTAGCACACGGAAAAGATTCGGTTTACATCTCAGGATTAAGACATAACCTTATTTAATTAGAATTAGATATAACTTATGTTTTCAATTTTCCCTGGTAGAACTTCTGGTCTCTGCAAAGCTACTTCTTAATTAGTCTTAAAGTGTTTTCGAATTTTGATAACAGTATCGTCTTCTGAGAACATAGATAAATTTCAAATTCCTTGGAAATTTTTGCGATTTGATTTTACATGCATCATTTTGACTCTTCTTTTGTTTTGAAGTTTATTTGTTTGAAATATGTTCTACAATAAACGGTGCATATGCGTATGTAACGACTTCGTTTTCAATAATTCAGATACCCAGCCAATTTATATAAATGTTCAATTTCTAGTATTCAGAGATATTTTTTGAAGATTGAAATTTCATTTACTATTGTTACTATTGCTAAATAATTGAAAATAATATACAGTTGAAGAAATAATGGAAACATACGTAAGAAGCTTTATTTTCAGAACAGCTGTAAGCATTCACAAGCGCAAATAATTTCTGACAAATTTCGGAACAACTTAAAAAGGCAAGCCTCCACGAAATTGTTCCATCGCTATTGGAAGATAATAACTGTGTATTTTCCTGTATTCAAATAAACTAAACCGCTCGGAAATTGCTAAAATGGCATTTTAGGCAAAGCAGCAGGAAGAGAGAAAAGGTGATGAATATAAAATTTAATCGTACCTTTCGTATAGTTTCAAATAGCATTAATTACTATTGGTTTTGGAACCAGGACTTTTCAAAATTACTGAATAGAACCTATAACTTTTACTTTGGTATTGTTAGAACACTAAATGACTAATTAGCAGTAAGCAAGTGTTTTCTAAATACAACAATACAAGCCGCCAGTCAGTGGGTGGTGAAACATGAAATAAATGACATGAGAAAAATGCTGGTTTATTGCAAATTAATAGCCAAATCCTATAAATAAATGGATATTTAGCATTATGAAGAAATTAATAGGAAGTTATTAAAGCTTTATGTCATATGTAAATTGTGTATTTCGATTAAGCAATAAAGAGCAACAAAACGTTAAAATTTGCACATTTACACTCTTACACTTTCACAGTAATAAGTTTCTTTCTTGTCGATATCTTTAAATTCCTGCATCTTGATGTATAAATTCTTATGGTTTATTCATTAAGCATAAACATCTAACATTTTTCCGGAAAGAAAACGTTTTGAGATTTTTTTTTTCAATCAGAAATAGGCTCTAAGTTTTCCTTTTTCTTATATACTGTTTTGTTATATTGTAATAAATGTAAATCTTTTTTCTTTTAAATGGAAAAAAGAAATATTCAGGCCGTATGCATTCTAAATGCTGCTACAGAGCTTTAATAATATTTTTATTGTTAGGTTTTATTTTTAATGAAGACCATTATAATTTCAACGAAAATTGAGAAATTTTGTATTAGACGTAGTTAAGATATGACACAGGAAATAGCTTTCATTAACTCTACTAACAATATAAATTTTTAAGTTAACTGAACCGAAAAAACTGACACTATGTTTGCAGATGTGTAAAAAAACATGTCATTACATGAAAGTTTAAAAAGCATGTTTTATATTAATAACTTAGTTGTTTACGAAAGTATCGAAACATTACTAGCAAATATTTTTTTAATGTTTTACCTTTTTTGTTCTGCTAAGGACTGGCAGTTCATCAAACTGTGAGCTATTTAGAAACGTCAAACACAAGTTTACATCGCTACCAGACGAAATTCTAAAATTAGAAACATCTTTTTATAGTTTCTTTTTCCTGTTCTTTTGTTTTCTCTTTTAACTGCATTATGGGAGATCATTGTCTATTTTGTTCAGATGCCAAAATTTGAGATATTTATTCTCTAAGGTGAATTTACTTAATGTTTTCTTTGATGTTGAGTTCATTATTCGTCCTTGAATTACGTAATTGTTCGCTTCAATGGTGCAGCTGTTAAAAATCTGTCAAAGAAATAAACATCTGATACAATGATGAATTGCTTAGCAAATTTTTGCAAACTTGGTTAATTTTTCAAACACTAAAGATTTATCTATCTAGGTGGGCATACTTCTGTGAAGAACATTATGAGAAATATTAGCCTGTACTTATTTTAAATACAGGCGTTGTTTGTATGTCTACATAAACAAAGATAAAACTCAGTACTTGGAGTTTAAAGATAAAAATTTTAAAAACATTGAATGCATTCGTTTGTTTTAAGTCACAGTTTTCTGTACATACATTCCATAAGTATACATTCTGAAACATGAAACCCAGGCGCGAAGTAGTTATCTAACTGAGAACAAGTAGTAATTAAATGTACGATGCAGGGGAGGGGAGGAAATGATTGAAATTTCCGAAAAAATGGGTGATTTATTTAAAAGCAATATCTATCTATCTATCTATCTATATATATATATATATATATATACTATACAAAGTGAGCAAGTCAATAATATCAGTAAGAGGTTAATCCACCTATGATTGAATGCAAGCCGTTATCTGGCAAAGTATTTAAACTTAAAGATGGAGGATGAAATCTTTCGTGGTTTCTTACTATTCTCCAAATGCTAGAATAATTCGCTAACATTATATGACGGATGGCTTCCCATCAGTTGCAAAATGTTGTTTGTCAGAGATATCTGCCAACTTAGTTGGGATAAATAAGTATTTGGAAAGCACGAAGACAAGCTTGCATATGTTCCATATGGGCGCAAAAGGAACGACAGCACAATGGATGATAAGACTGCGTCAGCATATCTGTATGCTATAGGGAAGCCACGGATTGTTAGCAAAGGTATTGAAAGGCTTGGCATCACAGATCACAACTCCCTCTTTTCGACAGAGGATGTGTTTCCTCTTTTTTATGTGGGAAATGAAACAGCGAAAGTAGGATCTCAGCATCCCTGGAGGTCTCCAGATATTTCTGGATATTTTTCATTGGGACTCGGTTCAAAAGAATCCCTGGAAATAATTCATTTTAATTATTTAAAAACTGTAACAAACATTGAAAGGGAGTATAAAAGCCTTACCAGTTTTATATAATATTTTATGTTTATGTGAAGTAAATTTTGTGTACTGAAGAAAAAATATTATTTCACGTTATTCATAGAGTTTTATTTTAATATCTACTGAACGAAAGCTTTACAAGAAAATTCGCTTTTCCTTCATGTTTTAAGAGTTTTGAAAACTTTAAACTCAAATTTTAAGAGTTCCGAAAATGCAAGATTTGCAAACCTCCAGTTTTAGTTTCTTAAGCGACTTCTAATAGCAGAAGTGACAAAAGCACGATCAAAACGACTTTTTTAGTGTAGTTCATTATTCTATGCTTCAGTAGCCTTATTTTTGCTTCTGAGAAAGCATTAGCATGTACCTTTATTATTTTAATGAGATACTTGCTTTACTTCTGATGTATTTTTTATGTTTACTTTCTTGGCAATTTTTCCTACATTGTACTTGCTTTTATGAAATTCGTAAAGTGTATTCTTATTGCATGTTTCTAAACACGCGGTGTATAAGAATAATGCATGTTTTTTAAATAAATTTAATGAAGATAAATTTCCATTTTTTATTCAGAATCAAAGTATTATTTCTTAAGTCTAAATGATTTGAAGTAACATGTTTTAATTTTTTCAGCACCATTATTGTACTGTTATTAGTATTGTATCTTGTACTGTTATTCTTGCTGCTGGTTATTTAAAATATTAATTATGACGTATTTCTATGCAAAATATTCCTTATTACAAACTTAAATACATCAATCTTTTTTTATTTATCTGTTTTATATGCACTAGCTTCTACACTTATAGAAATGAAATTCAGTAAGAAAGGGGAAAAATATTCCTATTTAATTTTTTTCTCCTAAAGCTAATTCTGCGCTTAAGACTGTGAAAAATATTTCGTGTAAAATTATACAGTAAGTAATTAATAATCCACTACCTGCTGAATAATTGCGATATACTAGGCTACATGATAAATTATAAAATCATCCTTATCATATTTTTCACAATTCTTTGGCTTTTAGGCAAGAAAATGATGTATACAAAGTAATTTTTATTTATTCATAAAATTCCCTTCTTTTCAGAACTTAACATCATGTCGGAAGCACGAGTATTTGGAACTAAACTATCATTATGACTCAAATATCATAGACAATTTTTCTCGCTATACAAAGATTTTCAGGTAAGGCAGCTGATTTAGATAATAAGTGGAAAGAATTATGTTTTACCTTACATTATTTCTGAAAATTATTATATATATTTTGACTTATTATTCTATATATATTTATGTTTTTATAATTTTTATTATATTTCATAATTATTGTTCCATTTGAAATTTATTTTTCTTTTTCGTATTCTATAACTCAATGAAGCCTGTTTTAAATATTACTATTTTTTAGAATGTATATTGTGGTGATCCACGGTTTGAAAATGGTTTCTGAATCAGAGAGATTCGTGCACTAACCTAGTGCTTCGCATTAGAGAGTAAAGAACATCTATGATATAAAAATATACTTTTATTTACACAGCGAAAACGCGCAGCAACATTATTAACGAAAGCTCATTCTCCTATACATACTTCTTTTTCACTCACTTGCGCATGCGCATTGACATTACCAAAGGAGCTTGGCAGATACTGCCATCTGTTGATAAACTATTCGCTACATATTATTCCTCCCACCTGATTTACTGGGAGGTAAATTCACACATCTGTTAAGTTATATAGCATAATAGTACAGTATACAATATTGAAGTATAAAATTATGCTACCAAGATGTTCTAATTAAATGAAATACAAATTTACCTGGAGATGCAGCATTCCATAATTTTCTAGACATATTAACAGATAAGCTAAACCTAGAAAAATAAAAGTAAATCAAATTATTAAAAAGTATTCAAACAAGTACAAAACATTTCACAGACGTATCACTGGTTTCACAGTCTACCACTGCTGGTAGTCATAGGAATATTTTCAGTCATATCCTTTTGGACTAGATTATCCACCTCAAGTCTGTATAGTCTTTGTACTGGTCTTAGAAACTCAGAAGTCTCTGCCTTTATGAGAGCAAGTCTTATTTGTCCATCACGACCAGGTATCAGATTTATGACACGCTCCAGGTTCCAAAAAGCACGTTTCTTCTTGTTATCTTCCAGTAGAACAATTTCACCCGCCTGGAGAGGTTTAGCTGTAGAAATTTTAATGGTCTGGTGACGTAACTGTCCTAGATATTCCACACGGATTCTTGCTCTAAGTTGTTCTCTCAATTTTTGTAGATACTTAGCTCGTTTACTCAGTTTTTCCTTATCCACTGTATCGATATCAGGTACTCCTGATTTGGAATCTTCCCGCAGGAACATTTCTGGAGTTAATGGGGAGAATCTTCAACGTCTTCCGACGTAGGGTAAGGGCCTAGTATTGATTACTCTCTCACAGTCGCATATACTGTAAGCAACTCCTCGTAATCCAGGGCAACGACCTAGAACTTTTCTCAAATCTGTTTCACCATTTGAACTAAACGTTCCCACCAAGACCCCAAGTGCAGAAGGAGGAATAAATTTCCACTGAATTCTTTGCTCAGTGGCCTTTGATCGCAGACTCTCCCAATCAATTGTATGCAGAAGGCTCTCTGCTCCTTTAAAAATTACTGCCATTGTCTGAGTATATTATAGATGGTCTTCCGCGACGAGAAATGAAACGTCTCAATGACTGAAAAAGCTTCAGTTGTCAAGGATGTTACTGACTCCAGATGTAATGGCCCTATAGACCGCACATGTGTAAACAATATAAGCTTTTTCGACCATCTTAAGGTAGAGGGGTCCTGCCAGATCGACACCCCCACTATCTCAAAAACATTTGCATCACGTACTCTATCTTTCGGCAAATCCTGGAGTTACATCCCAACTTTTGGATTTAAATCTTGACATTTAACACATTTCTAATGCAGTTCGTACGAGTGTCTTACGAGTTTTTGAGGATCCAATACTTTTCCCGCAAATGAGACATCACCATAGAGTACCAGCATGCAAGCAGCTCATATGTGCATTCATTATTAGTAATTTACTACTGCATGATCAGATGGCAAAATTACAGAAACTTAAGTCAGCAGTATCGTCGCGTTAAGAATATGGTTTTGCTCTGATAAACCATCACGATAACTATAGGTCTGGGTCTTTAATTTTATCTCGTTCACACTCTTAATGATTTCTTTGAACCAATAACATAAGAGTTATCTCAGCTCTTTTCAATTCCGAAACTGACAAAATTTTGGGGTTCGTTGTAATTTTCGTAATTAAAGTAAAACCTAAGAATCCACCTAACATGCGTACAATTTTCTATGATGAAAGTACCGTAATACCAATGTCAGGTTTAGAATCTTTGTAAGATTTGTCAATACTGATTTACGCTTTCTGATTTATGATCTTTCGTCCGGCAAATCGGTGCTCTTGACCATGACGATTCTGGTTCTAACAGAATGATGGGCCCTCCCACCATTTCGACAGCAAAAACTGTTTAACTGAACGCCTCTAGAGGAGATCGGCGGCATTCGCTCCGAAGGATGTAATGCCATCTTTTTTGTAAGTGTCTGATTTCTTGGACCCGATCCAAACGAAGTTCCCCCACCGTACGTCTCGCTGGATCCAGCAAAGCGGTTGTTGAGTCTCCAGAAAGGTCTTAAATTTGCATGTTCAAATCTGAAAAGACCATACGTCCCAAGCGTCTCCGATTAAGCAGGATAAAATTCCAAACGAGGAATGGATATACTCTTTTAAAGGCTTAACCTAGTGCGTGCTGCACAAAATTTAAATAAATTATTTCGGTCTTCATCTTAGGAAATACAGTACTAGGCCATGCGTGCTGGCATCGTGAACATGAAGACTTACATCTTCCCAACCAATCTGTCATATTAAGCCATTAGGAATTTAAATCAGACCATTCATTTCTTTCCTTACCATTGCATGGACTTCTTTTCTAAATGTTCTTGGCAATTTTTGATCCCAATTAATCGTAATTTCCAACACTCTGCAATATCACCTTTGGAACAGGGAGGGAGAAAAAGCCTACTGGGTCAAATAACTTATGCGCGCAAGAAAGGAGTTTCGTTTTACTCGAGACAATCCCTTTCTTAGTGACTCAATTTTACGGGAAGAGTATCATCCTTCAATCCAGTTTAACCCTAAAACGCAAACGAATATCTTTAGAGTTGGAATTATTTCCACAATTCACTGCCACTCTAAATTAAACTTTACCAGTGACAATAACATTCTCGATTCTAGTACAAATCTATTCAATTCTTCAACCATTCTTAAAACTAGTCAGGCATTATCAACATAGAAGGACTCCTTCAAAATGTTGGCCTGTAACTGCAAATGATCTGGGCACGAGTTAAATGATAGTTCAACGTAGCGGCTAACAAAATGGACTACAGTTAAGCCCAAAAACCACGCGACTATGTCTGTTAAAATTTAGTATTCTCTTCTTTGCACTTTCCAAAGAAACGCAAATAATCTATCCTTCTATCTTATACCAATCTGCAAGAAGGCTTTCTCAATCTGAAATTACTGAAGAGGATATTTCCGAAACGATTCAACAATGTTGGAATTATTCTATTAGGTTGGGACCCTTCTCAAGACAATCTTTAGAAGTTCTCCTTGGCGTGTGCCGAAGCATCAAAAATAAATGGCCTTACTCGCGCGTAGTTTTTCTCCAGCCTTTGAACGGCAAAATATGCGCTCATCTATTCCCTTCAGTTACCTCTTCAATATCGGTCTTCATCAACCATATCAAATACTTCCTCTAAACTTATGAAGTCGACTCTAATAGTCCTTCGCGTATTAGTCAGGCGTTTTTCTGCCAACGTTTATTATTAGACAACGAGAGTGGTCCATACCCAGGTTGCGTTTTCATATCTCCGTCTGAATCCCAAATTCAAAGGTTTCCTCAAATATTGCATGGTCCCTCTGAATTTCAGCGTTCTTTTTAGACTCAACGGGTCATTAGACAACGTCTAACTCCACAGTTTCTGTGATTTCGTTACTAAAGAAAATTCAGAGAATCATTTATACCCGAATTCCTTCGCTGAATTTACCATTAAATCCCTCCAAATGTTTTCCATCGCGACCGACCACTTTTAACTTTATATTTCCGGTGATAATTTTCCAGCAATATCGAACCTATCACATTTAAATGTCACTTGTTTTCGAGAGCATTACCCTATACAGCGACACTTGAAATTTAGGTTTACGAAGTTTTCACCAACCAGGACCTTTAGTATTTCTAACATCAGAACAGACCAGATTACTTAAACAATGACACTAAACATATTATTACAGGATACTCAAATACATAGATTTAGAAGCAATTTTTCTTTTGTTTCTCCACCGAATAATTTATGAACTAATTTCACTACCACACTGTTACATTTCAAAGAATCTGTAATATCTTTCGTAAATAACTCTCTCGCAACCCGTATCTATAATCCCTCTGACTACCTTTCCCTGTTGCCATTTTTTACCCTACGAATGTTTTTAGTAACACATCCGGCTCGCGGAATCTCTAGCAAAACAGACCTCATTTTTCGCCACAGGCTCTACTTGTAGTCTCTTTCAATTGAAGGAACTGTTGACACATTACTGCCAAATCCTTTTATGGCAATAAAACACTTACCGGATTACAGTTACGAGAAATATGGTTTTTCTTCAGCATAATAGAAAAACCCTTCTTAAATATTAAATCTTTTTATCCTGAGCGTACTAGCTTTAAACATTTTCTGTTAAATGTGGCTTATCAAAAATAACACGATTCCTCAACTTTCTTAATAGGAGCATTTTCTTTAAATTGTCTCCTGTATACAAATATTACAATAAATAGTAGACTCATCTTAAGTAATTTTAGATTTTCTACTTTTACAAAAGAAAAACGCCTAATTTAATTCCTCTTCAGATATCACTTCATTTCAAAACAGAAGAATAGATTTAAGACCTCTTACTGTTGTGACGAGCTCTCCTTCCCTCTCCCACACGCGAGATGCAGGGGGCAGGCAAGATTCACTAACGGAAAATAAAATAGCGTTTTATCTTCAGGTCCACCGAGAGATTCCAGAGCACGCAATTGTTTCTAAACTGTCGGCACGATGATAGCGCAAAGTCCTTTTTGGTTGATTATTTTATCAACACAAGATTCAA